AGGACATCCCGAGGCTGCTAGAAGGACAGTGATGTCACCACTGTGATGTCGTCGGGGTGGTGACACCATCAGGGACATGCTGCTGTCACCTGTCCCCTCCTACTGTCCCAGCACAGGATTTGAAATAAATCTGCGGAATTTTCATTAAAATTGTCCCAAATATTGATGGGAATTCCTGGGGTGACATCACTGGGGATATCTGGGGACAGGGACCAACCCAGCAAGCCCTGGTCACTCATGGGTGCTGTTTCCATAGTGATGGGGACAAATGGGGTCCTGGAAGGGGAAATGGGGTTTTGAAGGGGTGAACTGGGGTCCTGGCAGGTTAAATGAGGGTCCTCAATTCCGTCTGTAGGACCCCAATGAACGCTTCAGAACCCTCATTTACCCAGCCAGGACCCCATTTACCCCCCCAGGACTCTGAGCCCCCCACTCTCAAGGGCACATTTCCCCTTCCAGGACCCCAATCTCCTTCTGGGACCTTATTCACACCCCCAGACGGGCCGTGTCCCCTACGCCCCGCCCAAAGCTCTGATTGGTCAGTCTGAAGAAAGGGGCGTGGCCAAGCCAGTGGCGAGGTCTGAGACTCGAAACTGAAATGGATTGGGGGGGAGGGGAAGAGAGGGGGTATACTCCAAAAATGGGATGGACACCCCCCACCAAAATCCAGGGAATTCCATGGGAATCCCCAAAAAATGGGACCAGGACCCCAAAATCCCTGGAATTCCCTGGAAACCCCTAAAATACTGGGAATTCCATGGAAATCCACAAAAACTGGACCCAAGACCCCCCAGATGCCCCAAACTGGGATAAAACGTTGATTTTTCCAAGGAATTCTCAGTTTTTAATGCCCCAAATTGGCATTAAAAGTTTATTTTCCTGGAAATTCCTGTATTTTAATGCTTCAGATTGGATTAAACATTGATTTTCCAGCAAATTCCTGGTTTTCCAGCAAAAACCCAGGAACTTCCTGGAGAGTCAACTTTTAATCCCAATTTGAGGCATTACAAAAAAAGGGCCTCAGGGGGGGGGTGTTGGGGGTCCTGGGGAGGATTTGAGCGGTCCCAAGAGGGTTTGGGGGTTCTGGCAATTCCTGGAGAGGATCTGGAAGGACCTGGAGGGCCTTGAGGGGTCCTGGAAGGGGTTTGGGGGCTCCCGAGGGGTCCTGGAAGGTTCTAGAAGGGGTTTTGGAAAATCCCAGGGAGGATTTGGGCGGTCCTGGAGGGTTCTAGCTGGGCTTTGTGGGTGGCCAGTGTGCTGCAAATGGGGCATGTGGTGGAGCCATGCTGACAGATCCTGCAGGAGCTGGAGGGGGATGGGACCAGCAGGGTCGTGGTGGGGCATCGTCATCATCATGGAATGTTCATGGTCATGATGGGTCATCGTCATTGTCATCAGCACTGTCACAGAACATTCATGGTCATGATGGGACCATGTAAAGGAACATCCGTGGTCATCATCATTGATGGGTCATCATCATTGCGGAACATCTGTGATGGTTGTGAGTCCATCCGTGGCCTTGATGGGTCTTCACTGTCATTGTCATCATCAAAGGTTATCCATGACCATGACGGGTCCATCCCTGATCTTCAAGTGCCATCCATGGTCTGGATAGGTCTTTGCCTTTCTCATCATCATCATCATGGACAGTCTGTGGTTGTGAAGGGTCTTTATCATTATCATCAAAGACCATTCATCTTCCTGAAGGGTCATTAACGTTGTGGAATGTCCATGATGGAGATGAGTCCATCCGCAGTCTTTGCCTTTATTGTCATCATCATCACAAGCCAACCATGGCCATGAAGGATTTCCATAGTCATCAAAGGCCAACCACGGTCATGAAGGGTCTCCATTGTCATCAGGGGCAGTCCATGGTAGGGAAGAGTCTCTATTGTCATTGTCACACACCACCCACGGTCTCAGTGGGTCATTGCGTGCCAACCACAGTGGAGAAAGATCTTCATCCTCCTCCTCACGGACCCTCTGTTGAGCCCTGTGGCTCAACCGTAGAGGAGAAGGACCCTTGTCATCGTCATTGTCACCATGGGGTTCCCACGGCAGTGAGGGGACAATCCATGGTGACATTAGCACCATCCATGTTGGGGGCGGGACAATCCATGATGACATCAGGACCATCCATGGTGACATCGAGACCATCCATGGTGACATTAGGACCATCCATGGTGGGCACGGGACCATTCATGGTGACATTAGGACTATCCATGGTGACATTAGGACTATCCAAGGTGGGGAAAGAACAATCCATGGTAACAATGTGACAATCCACGCCGACATTGTGACAATCCATGGTAACAATAACCCTTCCTTCTCCTCCTCCTGGGCCACCCAGGCCACCACCATGGAGCTCCTCCAGCTCTGCATGGCCACTGCCACATCCCCGTCTCTGCCATCCCAGGAGATCAAGATCCACATGGAGGATGGTGATGATAACAACGATGACGGTGACAACGATGACAACTATGACAATGACAAAGGCCCTGTGTGGATCATGCCAGACAACACCGCTGCCGCTCTGGCCATGCTGCTGGACCTGCCCGCCATCTTCAATGTCAAACCCAAGCCAGCCACCACCACAGTGACCACACTGGACATCCCCCTGCTGACCAGCCCGCTGCTGCCCAGCTGGACACTGGTGGACCTGCACGGCCACGAGCTCCTGTGCCGCAGTGGCCGCATGGCCCACACGCCGGTGAGGCCGGGCACCGCCAGGACCACGGGAAGCGCTCGGTGGCAACGGCCCAAGGGCGAGCGGCGCGTCCGGCTGAGCCCGGGCTATGGCCATTCCCCTGAGGCCACTGACCCTCAGGCTGTGGCTGTTCCCCTGTGGCCGTTCCCACTGACCCTCAGGCTGTGGCCACTCCCCTGTGGCCACTGTCCCCCACACTTGCAGTTCAGACACCACTGGGAGAGCACAGGAAACACACAGGGGGGCTGGAGTATGGCCAGTGACCGGTATGGACCAGTATGAAACAGTACAAACCAGTACAAACCAGTACAAACCAGCATAAATCACTATGGAGGAATATGGACCAGTATGAACCAGTACAAACCAGAAGCAGTGCTGGGTCTGTGAGTGATCACTGTGGCTCCCGGACCAGTCTGGGGTTCTGGTCCCAGTTCAGGCACTGGTCCCAGCTCATCCCAGTTCCCAGTTTAGCCCCTGTACTGGTTTGGGATCACTCCTAGTTCAGTCTGTACTGGTTTGGGCCCAGTTCCCAGGTTATCCCAGTTCCCAGTTGAGTCTGTACTGGTTTGGGCCCAGTTCCCAGTTGATCCCAGTTCCCAGTTCAGTCTGTACTGGTTTGGGCCCTGTTCTGTGTTTAGCCCCACCCCCTCCAAACCAAGCCAATCAGCGCTCTCAGTCCTGAGCACAGCAGCCAATGGCAGCACAGGATGGGTGGGACTTCTGTTGCCATGGGAACTTCTGTTACCATGTCCACCTTTGGGGACACTTAGGGGGCTCTTGGGGACACTGGGAGGGGTTGGGGACACCTCAGGACACCTTGGGTGAACTGGGGACATTCCTGGGACATGTGGGGACACCAGGAGGCCATTGGGGGGGGTTGGGGACACCAAAGAAGCTCCTTGGGGACATCAGGGACTCTCTGGGGACCCTCTGGGATGGTTGTGGCAGCTTTGGGGACATCAGGGGCTGGGCGGGGACAAAGTGACACCGAGCCAGGGCTGGGGCAGAGCCATGATGTCATCACCGTCATAGTGACATCATCATCACCATTGTGACATCACCACCTCCACAGTGATGTCATCTCTGTGCTGGCAGTGCCACCGCTCCCTGATGATGTCACCTGTGTCCCTGATGATGTCACCGGTGTCCCCATGGGGGCACTGGCACTGCGGGGTCCCCGATGTCCCCGAGGATGGCGGCACCAAGGGCCTGGAGCTGCGTCACCAACGGGGCCAGGGACACTGCGGGGACACGTTGGGGACACTGAGGTGACACTGGGGACACATCTGGGGACACATTGAGGGGACACTGAAGACATTGGGGATGTTTAAGGACATTTGGGGACACTCAGGGACACTTTGGCGACACTCAGGGACATTTGGGGACACATTTGGGAGCATTGAGAGGACGTTGAAGGACATTTGGGGACATTCAGGGATGTTTTCAGGGACATCTGGGGACATTGGGGACACATTGAAGGGATATTTAGGGACACTGGGGACACACTTGGGAACACACTGGGAGACATCTGGGGACATTTGGTGACACTGAGGGAACACTAGGGACATTGGGAACATAGGGACACATTTGGGGACACTGGGGCCACATTTGAGACACGTTTGGAGACATTGGGGACAGATTTGAGGACATTTGGGGACACATTGGGGACACACCCACCTGTGCCTGGGCGTGGCTGGGTCCTGTCCCCACCCTTGGTGGCCTGGGGGGGACATGGGGGTGACACCCTGGGGACAGAGCCACCCCTGGTGTCCCCTCGGTGCCACCCCCTCACCTCCGATGTCACCTCCGGGGCCACCGTGCTGGGGACACAGAGGGGACAGAGCTGCTGTGTCACCCCCGGGCTCAGCACTGTCCCCACGGCCATCCCCTGATGTCACCTGTGCCACCCCAGTGTTCCCAGGGTGACCCCGGTGTCACTCACCACTGTCCCCACTGTCCCCAGGGCCACCCCTGATGGCCCCGGTGTCACCACTGTCCCCAGCATCCCCAATGCCAGCCCCTCAGTGTCCCCAGGCTCATCTCAATGTCCCCACTGTCCCCAGTGCCACCCCTGATGTCCCTCACTTGCTGTGCCTGCTGTCCCCAGTGCCACCCCCAGTGTCCCCAGTGTCAGTCACTCACTGTCCCCAATGTCCCCAGTGTCCCCAAAGTAACCTCCCAATGTACCCAGTGTCACCCTGCTGTCTCCAGGGCCACCCCTAATGTCCCCAGGGCCATCTCAATGTCCCAAATGTCCCCAGGGTCACACCCTGATGTCCCAAATGTCCCCAGTGCCACCCCCAGTGTCCCTGGTGTCACTCACCTGCTGTCCCCTGCTGTCCCCTCCAGTTTCCGCTGCCACCGGAGCCGCCCCGAGGCCACCAGCGCTGGGGACAGAGGGGACACTGGGACAGGGACAGTGGGCACGGCCACCACAGTGTCCCCAGTGTCCTCACAGTGTCCCCACAGTCCCCAAGGTGTCACCAATCCCTCCTAAGGTGTCCCAAATGTCCCCAAGGTGTCCCCAAGGTGTTCCAGGAGCATCCCTACCCCCCCTCAAAGTGTTCCCAACCCCCCAAACCATTCCCAATGGCCCAAGGTGTCCCCAACAGGCCCAAAGTGTCCCCCCAATGTCCCCAAAGTGTCCCAAACTCCTCTCAGGTGTTCCCAGGCATCCCAAATCATCCCCCAACACCTCCAAATTGTCCCCAAAGTGTCCCCACCACCCCAATGTCCCCAGGGTGTCCCCAAAATCCCCCAAAGTGTCCCCAGTCCTCCCCCAATGCCTCCAAGGTGTCCCCAAACCCCCCAACTGTCCCCAAACTGTGCCCAGAGTGTCCCCAATCCTGACAAAGTGTCCCCAAGATGAACCCAGGTGTCCCCAAAGTGTCCCCAGTCCTCCCACAAAGCCTTCAAAGTATCCCTGCAGTGTCCCTGGAGTGTCCCCAAAGTGTCCCTGGAGTGTCCCTGCAGTGTCCCCAGGTGTCCCT